CATAGATGAACGTGAGACTGCAACGCTCGATTCGTTGCCTGTTTCGATCTTTCGTTTAAGTTATTAAAATAAAGTGTCAGCTTTCTGCTGATGTGTGTTGTGCATAGATGAACGTTAGTTTGCAACGTCGGTCCGTTACCTGTTTCCATGTATCGTTTAAATTATTAAAATAAAATTTCAGCTTTCTGCTGATGTGTGTTGTGCATAGATGAATGTTAGTTTGCAACGTCGATCCGTTGCCTGTTTCCATCTATCGTTTAAATAATTAAAGTTTCAGCTTCCTGCTGATATCTGACTTTTGGAAATACTCTACTGATCACAGACCGAGTAAGTTTTGCGGGACAATTTCGTAATTTAACACACTAATTCTAAAAAGGCATTATTTTCTGATAATCTTCTCATTTATTTCTATATGATTTCCTTAGCTTAGCGATAATTTCTGCCAGTAGCTAAGCCATTCGAAATCTGGGGCCGTCCTATAAAAAAACTCATTGAAGCACGCGTAGCGGTCTAAATGCACGTAGCGACCGATTTTTCGTCGTGATTGGTTTCTTTTTTCCTTAAAAAGCCGTCAGTGATTGGCTGTTGTAGTATCAAATTAGTAATTTTTTATAGTACGGCCTTTGGCTACAATCGCGTTAGTGTGGTAGGTAACTTGACCGAAAATCCCAGTAGAAAAATGAACTATGAAGGTAGAGTATGCGTTTAAACTAAAGTCAAATGTTAACTTGCGCACGCGCACAGCCGCAAGATTGCTAACTCAATTTTTTCTTGGAGGCATCCTTCCTTCGCTGATTGGACCAGGGAGAGGATTTTAACCAAAAACTGAAGCTTGCCCAATAGAATTCTATTTCACTGGGAAAAATAAATGTTCACTGAATATTTTTTCATTTGCGTCGTTGACAAATTTGGACAATTTTCACAGTAATTTCCATCATCCGTACGATGGAAAGTCATTCATTATCTTCAGAGGGCTAAAATCTTGATTTTAATACAAATAAGATTCGTGCCAGTTTATTAATTTTTATTCTCTTATGAACGTATAAGGACAATTATTGGACAAGCGTCCTGAAACTCTCTTAATTAAAAGATCGATGGTCCACGGTCGAATCTGTAGCCAGGAAACCGTCGCTCCATTCACTGCTTCATCGGCGGATCACTAGTTCATCCATTCATGCTTCATGATAGACGCCGATATGAACGGGCCGGCATGTTTATTTAAAGGCTCTAACCGTACTAATTTTTTGACCGCAATCTACTGGTTGGTGTTAATGATTGAGAAAGATTCTATGGTATTGCGTGAAATATGCATGATGTTCCTAATTATAGTCCTATCTGGTGATATTTCTACGTAATATTTTTGCTAGAAATAAAAGAAACAGTGAATTCATGCCTGGCCCAATTTTAACAATCGATATTAAACATAAGAGATTGTATGTAATCCCTCAAACTAAATATTCCACAATTATTTCAACATTTTCCTGACTTCGCTTCGTCAGCTTCATAAGCCGATCTTCATGTAGCAGAATTCCATACTCCTTCCCTCCTATTACTCATCGAATAAATCTTAAAAATTCTATTAAATTAGTGGATTTAATTCTGCCCAATTCTCAATAATTTACCATTTATTTTTGTAGGGTTGAGGTCATGGCTGCCGGCTGGCGAGTTCATCACAGTAATTCCTACCTCTCAAAAAAGAAGCACCGGCCTCACGGAAAGGCATTTAATAAGGGAGGCTATTAAAAAAATATATAACTCAGCACTCACTGCAGCGAGTGACAGAGAGCGCATTTTCTCGTCGACGAAAACGTGAAGTCACGGACGGACAGACAGACAGACGGACATGACGAGTACAATAGGGCATTTTTTTCATAAATGCGAAAATGCGCTAAAAAGGCCACCCTAGCCGTATAGTATAATATTCCCACGAAATTAGTTGAATGCTTTGTACTACCATCTGATGAATAAGTCGTATATAAATTTTACCACCTATTCCGTATTGCGCATATATGTAACTGCTCTTATCGAACTTTGTCTTTGGGCATTGAGACAATCTTTAATTGACTTAATTGACTGAATTTTGCCTGTTAAAAAGGTGAGAAAATTTGTCGCTTGGCTTGAATTAATTACGAAAAAATACAAGTTTTATCTCATTAACCGACAGATCAAACGACGTGTTCTAATGAACAAGTCGATTTAAAAAAATGAATATTTTTTTTAAATCGTTACGAATTCGAGGCTTCGAAGCAATTCTTCTTACCTGCTAAAGACTATGTCTTAATTGTAGACGTCGCTGTTTTTTCGAAAAATAAAAATATTGTACAAACAATTCGATAGCAACTCAGGAGCCTTTATATGCGATTTTTGACATTTTTAGTTTGTGCCCAACATATTACCAGGTCTAAGATTCCTCATTTATTTTTATTCCTACAAAATGTACCTTATATCATCGAATATTCATTTGCTTATGATTTTTGTTTCGGCATTTCTTCTATTATTAATTAGGAGCAGCAGTGCGTCGAAAATCGAAAATATTTGCTTTTCCGTTTCCTTGGCTCATTTGTAGCTGCTGGTAAGGCCCAACAAACCGCATGTATGTGTGTGCTCTAGTTTTTGCGTAAATCAATCCAAAATATATAAAAAAACGTTCTTTAAATATGTACAAGGATTTCTTTACATTAGATCTGTATTTATAGATCATTATTTACGTTAATTGTAAAGTGTTTGCTCTCGTTTGAAAGCTGCAAACAAGACGCGTTCAACAAACCTTGAACAATAGATGATGCACCTGCAATAATTTTTGCCTAAGACTATTTTGAACTTTAATGAGCTGACTATGTTATAACAATATTTACAAATTTTAATTTAAAAAATTATATTTGTAGATCATTATCCGCGTTAATTGCAAACAAAATGTTTGCAAGCGTTTGATAGCTACAACAGATGCGCGTTCATGAAAGCAAATACCCCGGATGTAACAGCAATTGATTTTTTTCTTTGCGTTAGGCCATTTGGATCTTATATAAATTGAACATTTTGATTTATATAAATTTTATATATACATTTTTATATATAAATATACAAATTTATATATAAATATAAACATATATATAAATTCATAAATATTATTCACGTTAAACTGGACAAGAATGAGCCTAAAGACGCTTGGAGGTACCCTAAAGGAAACTAATTGGCACTGGGAAAGCTTGGGCCACTATATCAAGCATTTTTTTGCATATTTTTCATTTTTCGAGAAATTTGCCCATTTAGCTTCCTTGAACAATTAAAATTTCCAAATACGCCATCTTAAAAATCTATCTTCTCTCGTGATTTTCAAGCTACAGCATTGAGAGAAATACCATTCGGTTCGTAAAAAAAATCTATAGATAGCCTGGTAATTTCTTTCTATTTCTTTTTTGTTTTGATTTCATATTGAAAAAAGGGGGGAGGAATTAAGGGGTCAAAATTGAAGGAAAAAATCGAAAAAAAAATCAGAAAAATTACCGGTGAATCTCTAGATGTGGAATCCAATGGATATGTCCACGACGTTGTAGCACGTTAATTGAATGAGGCGTACAGTCCCTCTTTTTGCAGTTTCTATAAATTTCACGCTTTCTTTAATTTTTCTTTCGAAAAATTTACATTAACATAAAAGTCTTAGAATTTTAATTTATATATGCGCACCAAGTTTTAAAATGATCCGTCTGTAAATATTTTTTTCTATCTATACAAGCTCCCTAAAAAATATTGGCATCGATTGAGTTCTTATCCTTCCATTTTTCAATTTGTTCTAGTCATAGGCACGCATAGAGTTGAATTTTCCAAATTTGTATCCTACTGACAGAAGAGGTTCAGAGATCAGCGACCTTAAATCTACCGATACATGTAGTTTGTTTTCGCTCTTTATGGAATATTAGTGTCACGATTCCCTAATTAGTATCATATACCTAAATTAGTATAAAGATTCCCTAATTAGTATCGTATCCCAAAATTAGTATCAAGATTCAATTCCCTAACTAGGGAAATAATAACTCCAATCCGTGACCGTTGAATTTTGATAATTTAAAATTTTGACCGTCTTTTAATATCTGAATCTTCTTAACTTCAGTCCGTCAATGTTCCTTCACCGTCAACGTAGTAACATGGCACATTTTTTTCTCCTCGTTCTGATTATTAATGGTGAACGTTTATTAGCCACTGACGAAAATATGGCAGGCCATGGCAAGTTCCAAGCTCAGGTTCAAAAAGCGTAGTTAAAAACCATCTAGAAATATTTCATTTTAGTCCCTTTGGTAGTCGTGTGAACTACGGGATGCTGATCATTGTTAACTTCATAAAAACTTAGTTCTCATTCTTAGTTAAATATTGCACCTGGAGATGGAGGCAATATTCACTGGATATATGCCATATTTTCATATATACAAGTCAAGTGATATGTATATATAAAATTATCCATTTATCCTTCAATAAAAGATTCGGCAATTTTGTACGCTAATTTGCTTTATATGTAAACTACAGCATATTTTGCGGTAGCTGCACACAATCACAGTCGTGCACGGCGAAAAAATTTTCAACCTACTAATATCCACCGTGTAACAAATGTTCCAATGCGTTACCCTGCAGTGGTATTTTAATCGAATGACTAGAAATTCGAATTCAAAGAACTTTTCCTAACAGTGATCGCGTGCATTCCACATGTAATTCACACCTACGAAATTCTATCGTAACGAAGCCGAGCGAAAAGGCTTCTAATCTTCTCAGTTTTTGCGAGCGACCACTGCAAGATTAATTAATGAACGCACGAAAGTATTAGTAGATATAAGCATAAAGAGCTTCTTAAAAGCGTGTTGGTAGGTATAGAATGCTCCCCATAGGGCGCAGTTCTCCAATTAGCTTCACTGGGCCTAGGTACGAATGCAAAGCAAGCTGAATAATCTTTTCCTTTTCAACTAAATACATTACACGTCAAAAAACAATTAGGATTCCGGCACTGACTGGAATTACGAGTTCAAAATTTATTACGACACTCTTTACATACATTAAACTAATTCTTACTTAGTGAACTCTGCGTTCAAATGAATTCCTAAATATAGGTTTCAGAAGGACTACTTGATCACTCGTCTAAAGTAAAATGCATGAGCGGCGAGTGGATTGGTTGCCGATAGTCTTATGTATTCAAGCTACAGTTCATTTCTCTAATTTTCCTACTGTAATTACAGATCGAAACTTACTTTGCTTAAAAACCTTCCGTAAAATATCAAGTTGCAGTCGTCACAACTCGAGGCAACTAAGCGAGTAGCTAATGACACTAATGGAGACTATGCAGGACGAGAGATGTAACTCTGCACGTTTGATAAGGACATCTTGACCGATCTGAAGACCTTACGAACTCTGGACCTCAAGGCGAGACGTGACCTGAAGTGGACGAGGTTGGAGGAGGACACTAGGGTGCCAGCGTCTCGACACTTTGGCCACTCTCTACGGGGTTGTTGGGTCACTGTTTTGAAGTTACTGTGAAATACGGCAGACAAAAATTATGAAAAATGGTCAAGATCAATTATACTTGCCTAATCCATTAATGGAATTATGTGACCAGTGAAATCCATTCAAACTAGATTAAAGTATTTTTCAATGATAATTACGAAAGGCAAGACTTACCGTACTCTAATTGTTCCCAGTGGGGTTGTTCAAGATTGTGCAAAAAGCAGGACATCATTCGGCACCAAGTATCAGAGCAGTGTGTAATCTCAGTATCAGTATGCCGTAATTTTAATTCTTCATAGACTAATAAAGACTAATTTATAAGTTGTTACCTACCTTGTCGAATCGTCAGGAAAAGCTAATGTGGTCCTAGATGAGGAACGCACAAGGTGAGGACAGCAATTCATGACTGTCAAATTCAGTTTTTCTAATTTTGCTCTGCAAGCGCATCTGTCAGCGTCAATACCTCCACTGTCATCACTAGTTCCTCTAGCATCGGTAGATTCAACGAGGAGAGTCGTATCAGAAATGTAGTCTGGCTCTCCAAAAATAGGAATTGGTAAATTATCTTGCCAAACTAGAGAGTTGTCCCGTGAAAGTTGACGGAAGAGAGATGTACGAATGGTTTTCAAACTTTCTTCAATGTAACAAGTTTCCCATGGAGTCCTTTTCAACTTTTTCATTGCCTCTTTGATTCGCTTCAACACGCGCAATATTTTTATTACTTCCTTTTGAATTTGTTTCTCCATTCCAAATGACGTCAAACCCATGTAATCGATTCTGAATGTGAGTTTTCGCAGCGGGTTACATCCGGACTGCAGGAGATGCCACATCTGCAAATGCAGTTTGGACGCCGCCTGCCTGTAAGCTTCATTTTGTTGATTGACGGGAACTGGTTTAATTTTGGGTAATTTACAACGGTTGAGGATCTGCAAGACACTGTGCGTCACACCGTGATCTGACGTGGTGTCAAAGTTGGAATAAACTTTCGCCAGCAAAAGGACTGCATGTTCGAGATCAACACGATCCGGGATACGGTCGAAATTCATCACCTGCCAACGAAACAAGTTAGGTAGATTATGACCATTGTTAACATCGCATTAATTTCTCCTAGCTTATCGTACATTGATCGTAAAGCTTATCATTAACTTGTGAAAATAGAAATTCAGAAATTAGTCGGTTAATTCTACCGTAATTTGGTTAGTTCAGCATCCTACTTTCGAAGCATCTTTAGGAAAACCATTCATATAAATTACACACAAATTCAACGCACATCGTCTGGAGCGGATAATCTCAACTTGTTCAGGGACGCGTATCGCAGATTCTTCAGTATCGTAAATCGCTCAGTAACACGCATCGTAAATATTTCACTGCGTAACTTGAAACCTTCAGTACTGCATATCTTCTTTAGTTCACTACCGCAAACTATTGCATTTAGGTCGGTCGCACGAACTGCACCAACGCGTACCGTTGATGAGCAAATGCAACCACGATCATATCTGACGTGCCTAACGTTGCCGTAGTCTCACTACGGATGCATATCTATGAATTATTTCATTCACATGGTAAACCGGTAAACTATCGGTGAATGATCACAACGGTAAGCTATATTAACAAATGCGATTTTCTGTGTGCTTACAAAAGACACCGCTGATCCACCAGACTAGGCCCGGTCAAATAACTACCTACTATATTCTCATTGAACACCTGAGAGCGGACGTCAGCATGACGTATGGTTGACGTTATAGTAACCCAACAATGATGCGATCAGCAAGTTGCGATCACATAATCTATTGGTGTTCGTATTTCAGCTTTGATAGAGGTTCATCATCGAAAAACGAGGTTTCACGAATAATATATCATACTTCCTGGGTTTGACGAGCCGTTGAACTCTGTTTATTTCGACAAGTTACCATGCAAACTATTTCAAGATATTGCATGCATGACACCGTGCTTTGATTAAAATTTGTCGGTCCAATAAAGAAGTAACTTCGGTGTTAGAACTCGTCCACGGTCAAAATAATGTCCCGAAATTTTCAGCATATTTCAGCACATTATACTCACCGCAAAGAAAAATTATGAATCCAGGGCTCAAATTCCGTTTTGGATTTTGGCTAGTGGCCATGTAGTGAAGATTAGCTTGACGACTCAATGCCTTCCCAGTATCAAAGATACTGACCAACTGAACGAGCACCTCGAGGTTCATTGGGTAAGCTTCACTTTTCCTCTCCCCCCACCGACCCTTCCCTCTTTCGTATTCCATACTTTCCCAGGCTTCTTGAACCGCTAGTCCTCTTCATCCCAGCTAATATATACCACCCTCGCCGGACAAGCAGTTCGGCTTTCTCTGGAATGATACTATCATAAATAAGAGTTTGTAACTCCTTTATCTAATCACTAATTGCTTTCCAAGCTAAACACACCGATCACAGACGAGAAATTGGTCGCTACGTGTACGTGAGTCGCTGCGTGTACTTGGCGAGTTTTGATATTACGGCTCCAAGTCTCTGATTCTATAACGCTATAATTAATGCATCTAGTGTCGCGCTATCATTCATTTATAAAATTTAGTTTCTAAAGACGTAGCATCATAACTTCCAAAGAAGTTCTAAGTATAATGGCGGGCATGAGGTTGAGATTTCTCCCATTAAATTTAGTTCTCAAAAATTCAAAGACCTTTGAGCTGAAATTTATGCGCTTGTGATCGAGGCCCAGATATGCAATTTGTTGCGCTTTGAAGCTGTTCAAAGCGTACATATCGACGTTAGAATTCGGCTGAAGTAACAAACGTCAAAGTGTGACACACGTACGGGACACTTACTCCGCTTGTTTGAAATTGTTTTCTTAGTTTTGTTGAGGCTATATTTGCCTCATCTGTCACAAAGAATTGCATTTTTTCTGATATGACAAAAAGAAACGAACTGGATGGAATTTTGTAACTCAATTCTGTTAAAATTTTATGAGCATTAAACTTTTGAATCACCATTATAATTTTAATGCTAATTAATTTTTACCATTGCCGTGAGATTTATTTCAGGCTGACGTAAAAATAAAAATGAGGGCGACGTTAAACACAAAATTCTGGGTGACGTTAAAAATGAAAGTGAGTAAATAATCGATTTATTTCGCTTATGTCAAATGAAGGAGCAGGCAATCGTAGAATATTCAAATTGAACAATGACACTTTAGAGGAGATTTTGGTCTATGTTGTAGTACTTGCATAAAGCCCTCAATACAATTGTTGATACTAATGATGAACAGCACAGGCTCTCAATACAATTGTTGATACTAATGATGAACAACACAGACGAGTGAACTCATCTTGAAGTTGAGGGGAGGTCCTTGTCTGGATCATACAATCTACTAATGAACAAGACTGCCCATCAGTGTACGGCTTATGGCAGGAGCCAGTGAGGTGAGGCATGGGCATAATTACCCATCAATGTTCATGCCTATGGGACTGAACGTAAGTGAACGTAAGTATTTACGCTCTATTTTCTTGTCTATGATTGGTGGATTTTGCTCGAAAGGCCGTCAATGATTGGCTGATGAACTTACGATCTCTTAACTTTTTTTGAAAGTATAGGCCCAGGATTCCAGCACTGAAGGATCCCTACAGCATTAGTGGTGAACGCCTCGGGGTGTCCAGATGAAAGAACCTTGCATAGTGTGCGCCGAGTGGTAATAAATGCTCAGGAAGCAAAGTAATTCATCCTGTTCATTTTGTGTTCCGCTCTGAATAATAGCGTATTTTTTAAATTCCATAAAATATTATACTTCCAATTAATTATTAATTGACATCGTGGACACTGATCGAGATAGAGTTGTCGAGCTCATATCTGTTCAAATCGTTAGTTTTTCTTTCCACTCTCTCTCTACAAAAGTATTACTAAAGTGATGAAAAATATCCTGAAATGAAATGAGAGTATTCTATATTCAGATGAGAATATTCTATTCTCAGATGGAAATATTCTATTCTCAGATTAATGCTAATATATTATTCTCATTTTATGGCGGTAATTGCGGATGTGCATAGGTTAGAGACTAACCATATCAAATAAAATTCTGCCATTAACTTTGAAGCTTTAAAAGCAAAAGTCAATAACTTTACCCTTGAATAGAAAATTTCACTTCCTGTTCACCGTAACAAACATCTACTATATCTACATTGACTCACTAGTAACGCTTCCTGAATAAAAACTGGACAATTTTTAATTGATTTTTTTAACGAAATTTTTTTGGTAAATCGAATTTTTTCAAACGAAATGTTGATCTTCAGCCGAAATTTGGTTAACACTTTGACTGCGACAGACTTTGGGGGATCAAGAAGGCGAGGGAAAAATTGTTTCTACAGGTGAAATCTCATGGAAAAAGCCATTAATATTCATTTGATGAAGAGCAATTCAACCTGTAGACATGGTGTTGAATGCGCCTAATATCCTCTGCACCTTTACTAAATCCTCCGTGCCCTTACTAAGTCTTCTGCACCTTTTTTACTAAATCCTCTGCGCCTTTACAAAGTTATCTGCGTCTTTACTATGTCCTTTGCGTCTTTATCAAGTCTTCTGCACCTTTACTAAATCTTTTGCGCCATTGCTAAGTCCTCTGCATGTCTAATAATTATTTTGCGTCTTTGTCAAGCCCTTTGCACCTTTACTAAATCCTCCGTGCCCTCACTAAGTCGTCTGCACCTTTTTTACTGAATCCTCTTCGCCTTAACAAAGTTATCTGCGCCTTTACTATGTTCTTTGCGTCTTTATCAAGTCTTCTGCACCTTTACTAAATCTTTTGCGCCTTTACTATGCCTGCGCCTTTACTATGTCTTCTGAGCCTGTACTAATTTTTGCTCCTTTACCAAGATCTCTGCCAGCCTTTACCAAGTCCTCCGCGCCAAATCATTTTTGATGCTGGTTTTCTTAAAAGAATTGAACAATTTGACAGCCTTGGACTTGACTTTTGGCAGTAGTTGCAACCCCGCTCTACCTAAGTGATGACGAAGTCCTGCTTTTCTGAGTACCTATCCGTAAAAATATATTAATTATTATTCACAATAGGCCTAATAATGGGACCAAAAGTTCCATTTTAAAACCATTTAGACAATACAATGTTTCAAATTTCGACAAATGGATTATTCATGAATTCTTTGAATATCTCATTAAGAAGGGGTCCCGCATTACACTCATGTACATACGATCGTATAATGCTAACTAGAAGCCAGGCATGTCAATAAGACGAGAGATAAATGAAGAATAACCTCAGGGTTACCAGTGGCTATCATTGCGTCGCATTCGTAAAGCCCCGGCAAACGGCTTTGAAACAACGTTTAATCAACGTTGATTCAACTAAAACAAAACATTTTTTAATCAATGTTGATTCAACAGACGAACGTTTAATTATCGTTGATTCAACAAAAATATTTTTTAATCAACGTTAATTAAACAGAAGAACGCTTAATTAACGTTGAATCAACGAAACAACGTTTAATCAACGTTGATTCAGCGTCAGATGTCAGGTTGGGGGGCTGGCGGTACACTGCCTCTCCCCTGCCAAGTGGCAATTGAGGAAGGAATTTTCGATAAACGTTCCTTGCACGTGCCTGCTGGAATATGCACTCGGTTTGAAATTAAGTTATAAATTTGACATTTTAACAAGAAAGAAACATCATCGGGAGCCAATTTATGAAGATTATGACTTATTAATTCTCAGAATTTAAAAACAAATTTTCAATATTCTGCCATCGTTTGAATGACATATATGAAGTCGGTTTTGTTGTTTTCTTGATATTCCTAACAAAATTTTTTTCTTGATATTCCTAACACTTTTGCACTTCCAGTGCGTTGAGAATAAGGTAATAAAATGCAGTAGCGTGTTGATGGTCAATGAGATGGTCAATCGAAATGGCTCGAGATGGTCAATGAAGCGCGTTTTTGGGAAAGGCTCTCTAGGAATTTATCATCACAAATAAAGTACATGAGGGTCAAAAATGAGACACTTTGACATTTTAAATTAAATTGGCGAAAATTCAGACACATCCTAAGTTAACAAAACAGAAAAAGACATGAAAATTTATTTTTTCATAACAAATGTCGCAACAGGATTAATTAAGTATATAGTTCTAAATAGCCGTACCGCTTTTGTAATCCTGTAGCCGTAATGGAGATAGTATTGACCCATGTAGCAGACGTACTGCGTTTATCTTTCTGTAGCTGAAGTCTCGATTCTTCGACCGATATCTCAAATTCGCATCCGCGTAGAATTGTCTTCAGCCGTAATTCAAAACGGCTGTGATGGTTTACACTTAAGTGACGTTGCCGTCATATCGTGTCCGTACTGCTGTTGATGCGTCCGACCGTACTGCTGTTGATGAGTCACACCGTACTGCTGTTGATGAGTACGACCGTACTGCTGTTGATGAGTCCGACCGTACTGCTGTTGATGAGTCACACCGTACTGCTGTTGATGAGTACGACCGTACTGCTGTTGATGAGTCACACCGTACTGCTGTTGATGAGTCACACCGTACTGCTGTTGATGAGTCCGACCGTACTGCTGTTGATGAGTCACACCGTACTGCTGTTGATGAGCCTGACCGTACTGCTGTTGATGAGTACGACCGTACTGCTGTTGATGAGTACGACCGTACTGCTGTTGATGAGTCCGACCGTACTGCTGTTGATGAGCCCGACCGTACTGCTGTTGATGATTCCGACCGTGCTGCTGTTGATACGTCAAACCGTACGTTTGACGTTACTTTAAGGGGTTGCCGGCTGTTTATAAGAGCTGCGCTTCTGGTTGCTTCTGGTCTCGCAATTGAATAACGGCAGGCTTGGCCGTTGCTTTGACGTTGGCCGTACAGAAATGTAGCAAAAACGTGGTCGTCATTTGTAAATTCTCTTACGGGGATCGTAGCTGAATCGACGATTGTGAGATTTTCACGATCGGTGGTATTCGAGTTCGATTCATAACCTGTCCCCGAATAATTCGTCCCCGAACTACGTTCCATACAGTCATGACTTACACCGTTTTATCTAGTCCTGTTCATTGCGTACATATAAAATTTCAATCTTTACTCGCGTGAGATTATTTGGAATTTATTCAACCCTGAATATTTCTGTAATTAAATATATGGGTTTTCATTTGATGATAATTTTGATGAGCACGCCAGAAAATATTTCCAACAGCACTTAATGACACTCAGATTTCGCTAGGCGACAGAATAGGTTTGAAATTATTCTTCTGTCATAAGTTTAATGTTTTGGAAGTAAAAAATAAACTTAATCGGTCATTGATCTCAAGCAATTTTTTTTTCTTTGTTGTACCCCACTTTTTTATGACAAAAATGTATCCCGCATTGCTTAGCAGAATGTTCTCCTACATAAACTTTGAAATGTTGTCAATGCAGCCTTTCAACGGATTGCCAAATGAAATCCATTTTCTCAAGCGCAATTTTATTACATTTCAATGAATAAATTAATATGAATAATGGTTTCAAAATCGCATGGGCGAGTTAACTCATGCGTATCTTCAGAAAACGAGGTTGAAACTTGGAAATGGTGGAAAATTTTCATCTTGAAATTTTCCAAGTTATCACATAAAATAATTACATATATATTTTCTGAAATTGTCAATGGGTCAAAATTGTCAGAAACTCTCAATACGTCTAATTAATTCTCTTTGGGTATCTTCGTGCGTGCTTTTATACGAGTTTTCAAAGGATTCTTTTGCATATAATTGATCAAAGTTGTATTACTAATTTCACCCAACTACAAAGGTAAATTTAGAACAGTTCTCCCTATTGCAGTCCAATGCTCTATAAATGTCTGTTTTAATCGTTTTGTTTCATCAGTTGATAATATCCTCGATAAAAAAGAACATTTTACAGTTAAGGCTTATATGTTATGCTTCCATATACTTCGTATTTATAGCAGCGAAAACGATACGGTTCTTGCTATGAAAAGATTTGTAATCATTCATTTGTATTATTGGCCAATATATATTGCGTTTAGTTCGTGATCATAAATTATATATAATCTTTCTTTGATTATCATCGAAATATAAAAGTTGCATCTAAATTTTTACGCCTCTTGAAATACAAATACAATTAAAATTTTCCTAGCATCGGGAGTGTAGGTAATTCAGCTAACTAATGTTAATGGTAATTCAGCTAACTAATGTCAACTTTTAATGGCTTTTCGCTCTGTCAGGGATTCGTCGATTCCATTCATTTTACTCTGGCACCAATCTTTCGATACATGAAGAGAAATTAATACTAAGCTTCATCAGTTCCTTTTCCGAACATAAAAATTTTTGTCAGTTTTTTTAACGCTTTTCCGATAGATGAGCAGGCGTTGCATGCGCTCGCAGTGAAAAAACTTGTGGCAAACAACGACAAACAAAACGCCAAGGCATGGGGTATAAAAACTGGTTTATGAATCCCAATGGTTTTTACTCCAGTCAAAGTTCTTATGAAATGTCTTGTAAAACAAAGGTGGGGAATTATTTCTACCAGACCCAACGCTTAAGAGTTAGTAATTTCATTTCCAATTACTGGAATAACAGATTAAAATACAACAACTGAAGTCATTCATAATATAGAAAGATTAAATGCAGTTTTTAAAACTTTTTTTCAGGAACACAATCAACGAATGCGGAATTTGAAAAAAAATATAAGTCCATCTGTTAACTCTAGATCACGAGAAGAAGAAATATATAATTTTCATAGCTATCCTGACAACAGTTCAATTCCATGAGTAATTCCGGAGTTGTAATATATATATATTAAGATCAACCGTAAACTAACATCGAATAAACGTCAAAGTAAATAACTTCAAAAAAAGAAACTTTTCACATTCTTATGGATCATGAAGCTTTCTCATCACACAAGCACCCAAGTCAACTTATTAGCACACGGGTGCGAGTTCAACAGAGTCCTCTTTGAAAATAAGTGCTCGAAAAAGCGAGATCCGTTATTTGCTATACGAGTTATTCTCTTAATGGTTATTGCTTGTCCATGTACTTTTCGTCTTTATCATTCTTTAGACGTATATATTTTACTATGTCCTCTGCACTTGATGATTTCTTTCCAATGGTTTTCTTGACAGACTTGAACATTCGTACAGCCTTGGACTTGACTGTTGGTTGCAGCTTGCAGCGTCGCACGTCCTCTGTGGTGGTGAACGCCTTCACGCGTTTGTTGCACATCGGACACTCCCTGAAGAAAAATTGTAATTTATTTGCATAAGTTAATAATATAATATAAGACAAAATTTTAAATTTCAAAAGCCATTATGAATGCATGATATTCTCAGGTGTCACCACTGGATTTAAATTCTCAATTACCTAATTAAAACAGTCGTGAACTTAATTCTAAATAAGAACCCCGGTGAGCCTTCTTTTTAATATAATGGTGATTTCCAGCCAAATAAATAAAAACGTTGAGTTGCTGGGTCTTTTTTTTCCGGACAAAGTCCGTGATTTAGTTTTTTCAATTGCGTTGCTGAGCAAAAATTTGTGATGTCTGTACTTCCTTAATAAATGTTAAATAATACGAAATAATTTAGAATTTAATTTTTGCAACTGAACCTACCGATTTACTCGTAAATATTGAATTATAGGCCTTCCTCGTCCGCGGACTTGACCGTTTCTAAGTCATCTGGTAACCCTAGCGGGTCGTGCAGCATTCAACGTGTTAAAAAGACGCGAGTTAAATCGTTAATTGAACTTATTGAACTCACGGTTTGTTCCCATCGGGCAAACCAAAGAGACGATGAGCGCAGGGAACGCAGTAGAGATGATTGCATGCGTCGAGAATGGCGTAGTCTGCTAGCCCCTTCGGAGCGATGCATACATTGCAGAACGAGTAGTGGGCATTCTCGGTCGTCTGAAGCTCAGACATGTTCTTGATTTTACTCCAGAGACGATCAGAGAACACGGAAGACTTCGGCTCAGGCTGGTAGGGATAATCGTATGACAGGTATAGCTTGAAGACTCTTTCTGCCGACAAAATTTTGCTCTGGAATCGACCGACTAGTTCCTTCTTACCACCAGCCTTGTGGAAGCCCAGATTAATATGTAGGAGATAACCAATTACAGATGTGGCATCTTTCTTCATGCGTGACTGATATTTTACGGAGGAGAAACCTAAATTTCCCATTCTTTCGAGTATAGCAGTAATTATCCGAATGGCCAGTTGGATTATATCTGGTAGCGCCTCAGAGGTTACCATAAACTCCTGATCGATTGTTCCAACAAGATTACTGCGGCATCGCGGGATGAGAACATGCCGGACAATCTTCTTGAGTCTGTACAACATCACGTGGTCCGCGATGTTGTCCAGGTCTTTTTCAAGATCAACCAAAAATTGCTTCGCTTGGATTGGCAAAATCGCTTTTGAGGCGACCTCAGAAGCCTGTTCAAGTGCCTGAAAAAGTTAAAAACAATCCATAAAAAATACAATCATTAATTGTAAAATTCATTACTATAAGTGACAAGAAACTCAACATTACCCTCTGTGGCTCCTTGGAATAATACATAATTTCCGTTAATATTGAAGCATTTATCGTAATTTGGGACCTGTTTTTGCATGCCATCCTCTAAGAGCTTGTCTTCAGCAAAGACAACCCGATTAGGCAATTTCTTAAACGACACTTCGCGACATCACGAAAAAACGAAACCGTGAGCTAAAAACGAAATCGTGAATCGTCTATTTTATCTTTTACTTTATCAGTCCACTTATTGAATCAGATCATCGGTAATGACTGGAGTTATCCCACTTGGTTGTTCATCATGGATGTTCATGCGGCCATCTTTAAAAACTCTAACGGTCTAACCCATTTACGCACCATTCCACCACTCATAATATTTCACCGGACATTTAACTGATTTGGCGATGAATGCGGACTGATTTGAAGCTTTAAGCACAGAGAAACGCACGCACTTCACAGTCGACTGGATTCTCAATTGATGAAGGAATTTCAAAATCACACAAACAAAGGTAGTTTCAATCGGATGGTTCCGTAATGGCGTCAGTGGCTTCCCAACAGATGTAGTTACGTAGCCACAAATTGAACTCAGCGTAATTGAAAAAAATACTTGTAGTAACTATACACTTCGTAGAATGCAAGGATCATGAGCAGTCCTTTTGAATGATATCTTGAGGTGGGACTCCTTTCCTACTTACAAATATTCTATTTTACACAGGGGAATCATTTATTTATTAGTTGTCTGGTCTGTCAGATACGCAAAAACGTGCACTAATGAGGTTGCAGGAAATAATTTTTTAACATACCTTGTCTTGTTTGTCTTCACATTCCATATTTTTTTTCTTTAATTTTCGTTTTCAACTTTGAAACAAATTAGCGCTCGAACTAACGGCTCTGATCAACAATTTTCAGGTACTGAAGTATTTCCACGTCCCACCGTCTCAAATACCTTGAGACAGAGCTGATAAAGATCAGTAAGTTTATGAAAGACTTTCACAAGCAAGCGAACTGTAATTAATGCGCTTGGAATTAATGGTCGATTTTGGATTCAAGTCCAGCCGCAGTAGTCTCGATTGTTGCGTGAGGCTTACCAAAATGTGACACAAATTTTGATCAAATAAGGCTTTTATCAGAGCTTTTGAGAAATATGAAATGAACCTGTCACGTTCAATTTAACTCGACTATTTCTTCCCCGTTAGGAAAACCTACACGAAAAATTCAGCACTAAAAATACTGTGAAAGCAAAAAAATAAATCTACTCTGAAAGTAAAAAAAATGCGAGTTAGACAAGGCAGAAAATAATTCACTATATTCAAGGAGATCACAATGTAAGCCTATGTGCTGCAAAATGATTAATTAATAATCAAGCTCTAAGATCCTATTATATGGATTTGGGAAATTTATTGTAGTGCTAAAAATAATAATATTAATTAACCCAAAATGCACAATTAATATTCACGTGGTTGGGCTTGTGCTTCTTCGTCTGCGGGAAAAATTTTTTCGATTAACCCAAAATGCACTGGAAAAATTTGTAATCATACATATGATTAAAAATTTTGAAAGAAAAATAAGAAATAAGAAAAAAAAAAAATGTCCAATGCATGGAAATGAGTCATTCACTATTACTTAACGATGGAGGCATTTCTTCAGGTGAAGGCTCACGGAATGCATAAATGTTATGCGTGGTCTGTCATGAAGATAATTCGGGTGCTGCGAAGGAATATCAAGTGCCCGTCAGGTGAGCTATACCTGCCTAAGTCAATATATACGCACTTTCCTGGAGTCTGGGCGTGAAGTATTAAATATAAAATATGTAAGAAAACTGAATATAAGAAAACTGAGAGAAATGAATCGGTCATGCAGCCTAAATAGCGTTTTTTTCCTACACGTAGCACTCATTTCACTTTTGACGGGCCTAAGTGGGTTAGTATGGCCCACACAAAAGCAAAATTAAATGTTCATTATCATTTTAAGAAAGTCATTCATATTTCCTGGAGCGAAGCTGCGTGAAAATACTCTGTCAATTGATTTGAGTGTGCTTAAAGATTTGATTGATTTGAGTGTGCTGAAGTGTAGGCACTTAAAATTTCATGAATTGTACGTGTTTTGTCCCGAAGAAAAAATAATTATTTTAACATTACGTTTCATTTCATTCTATTTGTTAACCGAGGTATTATATTTTTGACAAAAAGTTTAATTACTGAGGAGCCATTTTCTTGGATGTCTGTGGCGTCTCAATTAATAAAATAATTCGACAAGAGAGCTACGACTGCTAAAAAAACCTTCTTTAAAAATTAAAAAAACCTTCTCTGCACATAATAGCTGCTTTATGAATTTTCAGTGATTGCATGCCTCATCTGAAATGAATGAATGGAGATCTTGTCTGAAAACCGTTGTTCATTACCAAGTGCAGAACTTTTGAGATGAATAGATGGAAACCTTTTACTCATAATAGCTCCTAATATATCTTATTTAACTCTTCTTACATCTTCCATACTCACACCTAATCATTATATAATTACATCGCTAATGCTAATGCATTAAGAACACTTGATGGCTTAAATCGCAGATTTATCAATAATTTAAAATGAAAGCAAACAGCCGAAAAATTCACCATTTCTAATGAGAGAAAACGTTTCGGAGACCAGCCCCATTGCCAGTACAAAACCTAGAAAACGGGTACAAACAATTAACTGTTTAAAACCTAGAAGACAGGTACAAACAATTAACTAACTAAAATTCGCATTGAGGATATTAAAACCTATATTATCAAATAAAAAAAAAATAAAAATGAAATGGATATAAGTAGGTGAACCTACCCATTTACAATTTTGATGGGATCGGAACTGTTGGCGGCATTTAAACCCGGCTTCTGTTGATAAATGTACAGGGATTCTAAAATTTGCAGGTCAGAAACGCCGGTTGTGGAGACTAAAACTCTAAAATCACTATCACACGGGGACGTTGCACAGCTCGGCAAGAACTCATATGAATGAGAAGAATGCGCAAGCAGGTTTCCGGCTCTATAACTCCTGTCTTTGTGCTCTGCCAGCCTAGTATAGAAATTGCGCGGCGCCATACCGACGTATGCAGATGCGCACTGTGCACAACTATATTGATAAACTAGGGACGATCACATGGACGAAACAGGAATTGTATCATTCTTGAAGAAAGAGCTGATTCTAAAATTATCCACAGCAATATGTGAAGATTTACATTTGGGAGGTCTTTATAGTGAACAAAACTTTCAACTTCTTAGCCATAGACTTCGAAGGAAGTCCTCAAAGTAAGAAATGAACAATAAACAACATTTCTGTTTACACGTTCGGGAACAACATCAGAATAATGAGACAAATTCTCAATCTTAAATTCTTAAAATTCTTAGACAAAAAATTCATGATTTTAGTATACACCAGCTGCGAGGGAAATTGTCAAATAATGTGATATTTGAAGAAAGGGAATTTACTTCAGTTGGAACGTAATTGTTAGTATAATCTTTAGGCAGCCTTAAAATTCAACTATAGTCCATACGACCCAAACGCCTGCTTGCCTTTGAATTGTTCATATCATTTGTTGTCCGTGCTTCTTTTGACTTCCTCATGAAGAAAAAGCAGGGCCTCGGCTGTGATGACAACACTGTCGAGGCAATAGGAGACAGACTTCTCATTGATCAGGAGCCCAGAAAGGAGGTCGGCGTCAAGACTGGAGTGAACGGGAAGGGAGCCTGATGGCTTCGGAACACAACTTCTGGTCAAATGTTTAATTGTTAAACTCTGGCTTCCTCCGCGACGTCATGATGAGCCTCTAAGTCTCCTCTACACCTGCCGGTCCGGGATCTGTGACTTCTACGCCCTGCACCCTGAGCCTACTGCCCTACCAACCAACCATCGGAGCTTGTCCCATTGACCATGCACTGTAAGTCCGGCAACTTGAAATGCGCAATTTATTGTCAAGGACGGTGTTTGCGTCTAGGGATCTTTAGCCGCTTCACGGCCTTGACTTACAATAAAGATGAAGAGCCGATAAAATTGATAAAATTGATAAAAACTGATTTAGAAAGGATTTAAATAGATTTATATATTTGATGAAACGATTAATTTCATAGATTTGTACACGTGTTAAACCATGCCCCTATATTGCACGTACACAAAGATTATCATCATCGTAAGTGCCTAATTGATTAATTTCGTTTGGAAGGTGGCGCGGGAACTTCGTCCCAGACGTCATCCACCTACGATCCATCGGCTTTTTCATTGAACGAAAGTTGGCGGGATTTGCGCATCGTCAAAACCGTCCGCGGGTTTTGATTCTCTATACGGATATATTAAAAATAATATATTTGAGACTGTATTTCTGATTTTCCCGCCATAATATTTTCGTTAGAAATCTATTTAGTGCAAACATACTGCGCGAAAATTCAAATGCTGAATGCTTAACTAGGAAAGTAGAACAAATACAAAAGCCGCGGTTTATTAACGTTTGAATCCCATTTAATTTGAAACGAAAAGAACAACTGCTAAAAAAAAGCTTTTGCTTTGCCGGTAAACGTCGATTTTCTGAAAACAGATGTCTGAAAACCACAATTAAATTTTGTAATATTGCAATTAAGAAAAGATGAACTATTATTGGATTCAAGCTCCATGATAAATCTAATGCTAACGCTCAGAACACTAACCTCTCCTTACTTTCTAATTAGTTTATTGACTCATTGCATCTAATTGCGAAGTATTGTGACAACTTCCTCGTTACACCGGTCCTATTTTTTAAATCCAGTTCAACATTCAGTTCAAATTCGTTTGGTTAACCTTGAAGCGTATTTACTTGATCCGCTGCAAAGAACACCCGTAGTATTATAGTTCATCAATAATATGCGAAGCATTTAATCAAAATATTTAGAAAAGCGCGACAGGTTGTCACCAATAAAATAAGCCCACATCATTAGTAAAGTAGACGAATGTCATATCGAACGTTATCGCACGTCATTTGTACGTCATTTGCACGTCATTTGTACGTCACTTGTATGTCTTATGTACGTCACGCTGTTATGGTGCCATCTAATCCTCGATACAGAATGACCATATTGACAGTAACAGTTCGATAGTAACCCCATAGATAGCAACCCCCTGAAAATCGTCCACGTAATTAAATAATTAATATTTAATGTAAGACTGAATTTGATGTTTCAGTTTACCAAAAAGCAAGGATTCAGTATGCATTGGCTGAACAGTTATGGAAGAACAATTAATAATTCATAGAACACTGTGTTGCAACTATTGGGGTTTCTGAGAAAATAAATGGTCGAAAGAATAGAGACTTGCCAGTTATTAATTAGTTCATTTTACGTGAAATTATAAATAAACAGAGACTATTGTCGATTATACTTCAACTGCTCGAGAAAACATTGTACAAAATCGATTGATTGAACAAATCTCTATTACTTACATCAGGTATGCTTTTTAAGTTTTACCCGAAGCTGCTCGCCTTGTCTTAAATCAACATTTAAAGTACTCTTTTTCTAGCAGCACGTCTTCGTCAAGCCTGCACTTCCTTTGAACATCTGGCTTCTTTATCACACATCAAATTAAGTGGAATTTCTAATTAAATATTCCACCCTTCACCGAATCTGATTTAATGAATGAATGTCCACAGTTTTCAGCAAGAATAAACTTCAAATTGCACACTCGATGTTCATTAGAGACGAACATCAACATTACACAAGATTGTCTGCTGCTAATTGGAACATAATGAAGTCTTGCTTCCGGTTCTAAGGCAAAACTTAATGATGGCTGAATTAACCAGTGTTATTTCCACCAGCCTCAACAAACAAATTCCGATCCAACGCATGCAATCTAAAGAAATTCCTTTCAAAGTTATGACCAAAATAAAAAATTCAAAATAAATCATTTTAGTAATTGTGCATAAACCTCTATGCAAGTAAGGACATTTTTGCTACCGATGTCACTTCACGAGAGTGACTCAGGCTGGAATGTAGAAATAGGTCACTACCATATCTACGTTGTTGCCAACTTACTGACATGGAATAAAGAACGAATGTTTTATTTTTATTCCGCTTTAATGAGAATTGTAAGAATTTTCCTGTCGGCTTTGAATAATATTAAACTACAAAACAGGCAAATTTACTTGGTGATCCACGCTAGAATTTTGCAATCCTGAATTTATAAACAACTCATTACATATAATAATTACATACAACTTATCTCCATTAATTTCACAATATCTTTGTCAGAATATTTTTTCGCTCCCG